TCAATACTAATTCGTAAAGAGTAAATATGAACCCTAGAATTACTTAATCAATGAAAAAGCACATTACATGAATATATGATGTAGAAATCTCCAATTCCAATCGAGTTCCTTCGTAACTTTACCAAAAGATTTAGTTCTTCATGACTTTCTTGAGCAAAAAGAGATGAAAGAATGATGAATAATCAGCCTCCCCTCGTTCTGGGATGTTCTAGGGTTTTAAAAGACATCCCAAGATTCATTTCCATAAGAATTATATTGAAATAAGGAAACCAGAAAATTTTTCGCCATTCGGCCTGGGCGGGCACCTGTACAAAATAGGGCACCCGCCCAGGCATAAAAAATGGTTCTTGTTAATTCGGTTGAGGGTCGAGTGGCTGCCCAGTTATAAAACTTTAGTAAATTTTCTTTTCAGTCATTTTCTTCATTCTTTCTTCTAACTTGGTCCTTCACATCAAATTACTTCTACGTAATCCACGTTTCATCCCTTTGATTTCTTTTCTAGTCTGATTGATCTCTAACACCCTCAATCTTCACTCCATCGCCATCACATCAATGGATTATTTGCAACTTGGTCCCTGAACTTCCATTTTCCTCAATTTTGGTCATTTTTACTTGTTTCTCCTTATTTGCGCTACATTCATCGCTTTGTCCTGTAAAATGCAAATTACATAGAATTAAGCTATATTTCAACATATTGATCCATAATTTTCTATGTTTAGACAGTACGATAAGTGTGTAAAAATGCATTTATCAAGTCCTATGGTTTACTTACTAGTCATCTACAAGTAAAACTTTACTTCCCAAAAGTTGGATGGGAAGATGTTGGCGGCCAGAGGGCGGCTAAGATGGAATTATTACAAGCTGTTTTGTGGCCACAGAAGCACAATGATGCTACAAATTAGGACCCACCCTCTTTCGGGTATTTGGTGTTTTGTTCCTCCATGATGTAGCAAAACTCTATTACCAAGTGTAGTAGCTTGTGAGGCCGGATGATATTTTTATGCAATAAATGGCCCTCAGCTTTATAACAAATGGGTTGGTGAATCTGAAAAGAATGTAAAATCTTTATTTCAAAAGGCACGGGCAACGACCCCATCATAATATTTTTTGATGAAATAGATGGACTTGTCAAAACTCATGGGGAAGAAGGTTATTGGGTTTCAGTTGGTGATCAGGTTATAACTTAATTACTTAATGAATTTGATGATAACTAAGTTCGAAAACCATCTTTTGTGAATAGTTCTTGTTTATATAGACATCTCTTGTTATAATTGTTAATTGCGAGATTGTTTACTGACGGAATAAAACCTTTTTAAAAGTATCTTTATCTCAAGCTCTGAGTATGTCAATAATTTGCTGGTAGGCGTGCGTGAAAGAGTTGATGTCACTATTATTGCTGCTACTATTCGGCTAGATAAGACTGACCCTGCTCTTCTAAGACCATGTACTATTTCCGATGTCCAGTGATTTGATGATGATTGTCGCCATGCAACATTTTGTGGTAAACTCTAGTAGCTATCTTATATTTCATTAAAATTTTGGTAGGACTTTTCGATTGGCTTATTTATATTGGACTACCAGATGAGAATGACTGGAAGGATATATTCGATGTTCATTTGAGCCAAAGGGCATGTAGTTCTGATTTATGCATTGAAGAACTTGCTCGTCTTACTGAAGGATATACTGGTGCTGAAATTTAAAAAAATATGCAATGATGTAGGTGTAGCGGCCTTGGAGGTGTGTTGAGTGGTGAGTGCTAATCAAAATAAATGTTGACCTCGAAAAATGATTATGACACGTGGCCTACAGAATAAAACTCCACGTATGCTCCTTTTTGCGCATGATAACACACTGTTAGTCATTCGTGGCCTTTTCCGGTAGGGATAGAAGTGGTCGCGAGTACTCCGACGGTCAAGTTAGTGATTTTGTAAATCGGAAAGAGACGTCCGATGGTAAAGTGGTCACTGGAACTTCGCTGAGAATGCATTCTTTAGAGTTAAGAAATTCAAGATCAGAAATCAGAGTCCCAACCCCCTTCTTACCTTAATGTGGGAATATTTATACTAAGAGAAAGGAAAATGAGAATCGTTGGATGTAGGGACATGTGGCTTCAGATCCTGGATAGGTCATCTTTTCATATGCGTCAATATGTTAATCCATAGGTTGGCAGGTATTAAATATTCCCTGACATAGCAGTGTGAGTTGATTGTTTGGAGTCTGCCACACGTCCCATCAATCAGGCTAATGATTTGATTTCGGAGAGATTTCCTTATTAAAAATCTTGACAGGTGTGGAGAGGCGAATGTGGAGTGTAGCGAATGTAGAGTGCGGACCTTGCATCCGTCATGTATAGCGAATGAGTTTGAATATTCTATAAAGTGAGCAGTAGCATTTTAGTTTGGGGTACTGGATTCGGTTCATCCGCCACGTAGCAGTACTGAATCAGTTCGTGCAACATGTGGCGGACGAACTGGATGGACGAGGTAGATGGCCTCTGAAGGCCCGTAACAACAGTCCCTCAAGTCTGTGTATGGATATTTATATAATGTATAGACTTTATTGATGTGGCTATATCATGTCATTTCATGGGGTGTATGTGTTAATCATTGTAGAAGAGACGAAAAAGTATGCAGAAGTGACATCAAGATAGAAGGACGAAGCATTGAGTGCTAGCAACTTTGGGAAAATTTGTGGCAGAAGCAAAGTCCTGGATAAAGTATGAAGAGCTGAGTGTTAGCAACTTTGGGAAAAGTTGCGGCAGAAGCGAAGTCCTGGATAAAGTACGAAGAGTTGAGTTGTTATCAACTTTGGGAAAAGTTGTGGCAGAAGTGAAGTCCTGGCTAAAGGATGAAGCATTGAGTGTTAGAAACTTTAGGAAAAGTTGTTGTAGAAACGAAGTCTTGGCTGAAGGACAAAGTGTTGAGTGTTAGCAACTTTGGGAAAATTTATCGCAGAAGTAAAGTCCTGGCTGAAAGACAAAGCATTGAGTGTTAGCAACTTGGGAAAAAGTTGTGGCAAAAATGAAGTTCGGCAGAAGGACAAAGCGTTGAGTGTTAACAACTTTGGGAAAAGTCCCAAAGTTGGTAACATAAGTGAAGTTCTGGCTGAAGGATGAAGTGCTGAGTGTTAGCAACTTTGGAAAAAGTTGTAGCAGAAACGAAGTTCTGGTTCAAGGATAAAGCGTTAAGTGTTAGAAACTTTGGAAAAAGTAGTGGCAGAAGCGAAGTCCTGGCTGAAGGACGAAGCTTTGAGTGTTGGCAACTTTGGAAAACGTTGTCGCGGAAACGAAATCCTGGCTGAAGGATGAACTTTGAGTGTTGGTAACTTTGGAAAAAGTTGTGGCAAAAATGAAGTCTTGGCTGAAGGATGAAGCCTTGAGTGTTGGGAACTTTGGTAAAAGTTGTAGCAAAAATGAAGTCCTGCTGATTAGATAGCTTAGGGCTGTGTCCTAATAATTTAAAACTTTCGTGTCTTCCCAAGGTAACCATGAAGGTGTCACTTCAGTTCAAGGCACACCTCCTAGGTAATAAATGGTAATCGTGGCGAGGGCTATACAAGTTCAAGGCGACGCGTTTGGGCAGGAGCGTTAGGTACACCGCTTCATCGGGACCATTGGCTTCTGTGACCTTTAGAATTAATGGTGATGATGCACTATAGATTTTAACGGCCAAGATGTGATTAGTGATAATCTAACTACTAGGGTGAATTGGCAACACCTATATATGGCTAAAACCTTTCATTTCACGGGTTTATTTTGCAAAATTCTCTATTTTTCTCCATCTTCTCCGTTCTCGTTATGCTTTCCTTTTCTCGAGAGATCAAGGCCTTGAAACTCCGGCAACCATACTTCCCTTTGACGTATACTCCTTTAGGTAATTTTTTTTTCCCTCTAGTCCGTTTTTCTTTTTGGCTTTCAAAATTCAAAGAAATGGCCACTAAGAGATTTAGGAATACATCTATGAGTGAGGAGAGGTAAAGTGTGGGGAGTTCGGCCATTAGGGAACCCATAGTTGTCACTTCAGATGAAATAGGTAGGGCCATCGGGTCGGGTGGGAATATTTGCAGACTTCCCACCATTCCCATAGACACTTTGATAAAATGGGGGGCATCTGACTATCCTTCCAATGTTACCCTAGAAATATTGGCCAATATAGACAGGTTTTTAGGATCCTTGACAATATAGAACTGATAATACCCTACTTCAGTAAGAGGGCATGCTATCTGAGGTTGGGTTGTGTGGCCATAAGTGATAACTTATTAAAGGACAGGTCTTAGGCTCCCTTTTCACCCCATTCTTTAGATTAGTTCTCCGTTCTTATTGGTTGGCTCCAACCTAACTCCATCCCAACTCCTGGGGCAGATGGTTGGGTTGTGGATGCTATGGCATCAAACCAGCCTGGGTGTTGATATGCCCTTTAGCATCTTCCACTTCATCTACTTCCCTAAAAGTGTAGCCAGGGGTGAAAAGATTAAGGGATGGTACTACTTGACCCCCCAGGGATCTTACACTCCATTTATGGTGGACATGCCCTCTTTGGTGAAGAAGTGGAAAAGGTTGTGGTTCTGGGCTGCTGGGAGATGGGATACCATAGAGAATGGGTCCATGGCTCCTCTTACCATCCCCGCCTCTTACTCCACAGCCAGTAAGTTATCTTACCTAATTTCTTTTACTTAAACTCATTTCTTATCGCTTAATATTTTCGTTGTTTACAGGCTCTCTACCGAGGAGCAGTAGGATATTGTCCTCCACATTTACTTGCAACTACCATAAGAATGGAGTTACAACGAGCTGATCGACAAGAATATTCACTTTACTCTCCAGGGATTAATGGCATCTAAAGGTGAACCTCATTTATGTCTTCAGTTCGGTTAGATGCCTTACCTAAATTTACTTAACGTTTTTACCTTTTTGCAGACAACTTTTTGAAGAAGAAGCCATTGAGGCCTGACTTCGCCACAATTCGCTGAAGCATGGCGGAGGCCAGAATGTTGAAAACTAGTTCGGCTGCTTACAAAAAGCAAGCCGAAAAACTAAACTTATTGAGTGAGGGCTAATTGCCAAATGAAGATGACGTAGTGGAGGAAGGTGCCTCCATAATAAAAAGGAAGAAATCAGGCCCATCAGGGACTTCCTCTTCTGCTACCAGGTGACCAAGCCTCCACCTCCCTCCATTCCCACCGGGGTGATCATAGCGGCCCCTTCGAGGTTCCCTTGGCTGTTATACCAAAGACTGCAGTGCCTAGCCCTACCACCCACATTAGATAGCCATCTCGGAAGAAGTCGAAGAAGTACGCCAACCCTCATCGCAGCAAAGCGACAGATCTCCTTGGGAGCAAGGACGATAACCTCTCCGAGCTAGTATTGGAAATGCTGCCTCTCGAAACCTCTTATGCCACCCGAGTTCATAACAAGTACCGAATCGGGGACTGGCAAGACCACGTCGCCTTGTACGAAGTGGATGATCTTCTAGGTGGCTCCAGCATTCTTCAGCCCAAAAGGCATCAATTTATAACGATATAGCCCCCTATCTGTGATGAAAGAAGTACTGTCCTTGTCCTTCAGGTATATGGAAATTTGATTATAACTTGAATAAGCGACCATAAAACTTAGTAGATAGTGTCCAGCAGTCGAATCTACCAATTGGTCCATTTGAGGAAGTGGAAAACTGTCATTTGGGCATGCCGATTGAGATTGGAGAAGTTAATGTTCACTCTCCACTTGCCATTGTGTTTCTTCACCAGCAGATGATTGGATATCCACTTCGGATAGGTAGTTTCCCCGATGAAGCCGTTGCTAATCAGTTTCTTCACTTTTTCCTTCAAAGCGTCATACCTCTCCGCTTTTAGTGATCTCCTCTTCTGCCTGTGTAGGGTTTGGCTTGGATCAATTTGTAAGTGGTGGAAACTGATCCTCAGGTCTATTTCGATCATGTCTTCATGTTTCCATGCAAAGACGTTTGAGTTCTTGCGGAGGAACTCTTTCTATTCTTCCTTTGCTTCATCTCCCAAATCTTTTCCCACTTGCAGAACTTTAGAGGTTTCTTGGGGATCCAATTAAAAGCTTTCCAGATCCTCTATTGGAGCAGTTTGTGATTCAGATTCAGTGATTTGAGGATCTAGTTCGTCTAGGGCTACCTTTTCAAGTCGACCCTTCATAAAAGCTTCTGCCATCTCGACATCTTTCCTTTATGCAGGGGTTTTCCCTTCTTTAAATGCGTCGGACATTTCAGCATTAAAGAGCACCATGTTAACTCCTCGGGGCTAAGCCTTTCTCAAGGAGTTGATGTAACACTCCCTTGAGCCTATCTAATCACCTCGAATGGTTACTATTCTTCGTTCAATGGGAAATTTCATGCATAAGTGATGAACAGAGGTGACAGCCCATAACTCCTTCAAGGCTGGCCTTCCTAGCACTCCGTGGTATGCAGACCGGTAGTCAACCACCAAAAATTCCATGAAGTACAGTGCTATCAAATGTGGGGTCCCCATTTCAATAGCCAGGGTAATCCTTCATCTTGGAATAATGCTATCTCTCATGAATCCGTACATGGGAGAAGTCATTGGGGAAAGTTCATGGCCACCACCATCTTTTCATAAGCAGAACCAAACAGAATATTGACTTAACTCCCGTTGTTTACTAGCATGCACTTTAATCTATTTCGAGCCACCACAGCTCTCACTACTAATGCATTGCAGTGAG